GTTTTAGGATGATGAAATGAAATGCCAGGAGGAAGTTATTCATAAAATAATGGAATGTGCTGAAATGAGTAAATTGACATTTGAAATTAGAGAACAAGAAGAAAAACAATTTTATAAGACATGGGATTTATTTTATCAATGGTTAGATAAAAAAACATGGAAATGAAAGATACTAGAGAATGTTATCAATACAAGAATAATAGAATGATACTGAATATAACAAAGATATATTATTATTGGATAGATTGAAGATGATATAATGAATTGTTATAAATGAATCCAATATTTAGTATATCTTATTTAAAATGAAGGAATAATAATGATAGTCAAACAAATGAGGTATAATGATAATGTATACAAACATTCGATTTGATATTATGTGATTTATATAATTGCAAGTGACTATGGAAAGGATGCACAAAAACCTTGTAACCAATCTACACACTGTATGTAATGGACGATGGTTGTATGTTTTGTGTCGTTTGTCTGTCTAAAAATAAAAAAAAAATATTTTTTAAGAACTCTGGTCTTTGGAGATTTTCAGTCATCCAGGTCATGGTTGTCCCAAAGATGTCCCTCTTTTCAAGAGGCAACTGGACTTTCTGGGTTTTACTTTGAAGAATTTTTCTTCTCATTCAAGAAGCTCTGGTCAAATTTCGTTAAACACAATAAGGTGAATATTATGTGTTTTCCATTAATTATAATCATGTAAACTGTGTTCATCCTCTGCATCATCACCTAGTAAATTATGACCGCTAAATTCACACATACAACTATCTTTAACTCTTCGGACAAAGTGAACTACAAATCACGAAACTACAGTGTATCTTGTTAGCAGGCAATGTTTGAAAAGGCCGCAGGCCAGGTTTATGCCTACAACCCACTAACAAGGAATCAGCTTGACTTGGGGGGGGGGCGGTTTTGAATGTTTGGGTTCTATCTCGCCTTTCCCATTCATCCTAGAAGGATCCTGGGGCCTGCGCCCCTTTCCACCAGACTTGCAACACCCCCTCCTCCCCCCTCCGAAAAAAAATCCTGATACTGCGAACGCTGCGCGGCTCTCGGCCTTTCCCTTCCACACTCCCGCCCGCCCTAGCGCGCCTGCTCAATCCCTTCCCCAAGGGAAGGCGGGCGGCCGCGTTCCAAGCGTCTATGTTGTTTCGAACTTTGGTGCCTGCGCCTTGACCGGCCATCTGGCGCCTGCGCGTCTCTGCCTGCCTAGGGATTCGCAGGAGACGGGCGCTCGGCAGGCGGAGGGAGTCACGGTTGTGCCGTGAGCGAAAGGGCGGCGTTCCGAGGCTGTTTCCTCTTTCCCAGAGAGGCCCCCGGTGACGGAAGGAGCCGGGCCGAAGCGGCGAGATGGTCATGGAGTACTTCGTGGAAAGTTTTTGGGTAGGGGCTGATTCGCTCGGGAGGGGGCAGCAGCCTTTTGTTGGCTTGGAGGGCAGGGTCTGTCACTATACAATCAGCAGTGGAAAAAGCGGCGAGAATTGGGGCAGGCAATTGGGTGAGCCGGAGCCGGCGGTGCCCCTTCGCGGCCCCTGCGCCACTTGGGAGAGGGGTTGGGGCCTGCCGTTGGGTCAGTTGCTGCGGCGGCGAAGGCGCCGGTCGGGACCGAGGCTTGCTGTTTGTTTGTTTGCCTAGGAACGTCCCGGGAAACGTTGCGGATACGGGGGGCCGAAGGGCAGCTCCGGGGACTCCTTCCTTCCCAAGCCCCTTTCCTTGCCGGACCCGTGTCCCCCAGGGTCGTAGTTCGGGGGAAGGAGAGCACCTGCTCGGCCACCCTCCCACCCGCCTCTTGGTCAGCTGGAGGTTTGGGCACCGCGGTCAGCGAGGACGGTCTTAAAAGAGGCGACTCGGCCTGGCGGGATGGGATTGTTTACTTTTCCTTCCTGCGCTCCTGCGAAGGAAAGACGAGAGCTTCGTTCCCTGGAAGTTTGATTCAGAGGAATCTCCTCTCCTCTCCGGGATTTCTAAATGCCACTGATATTTTCGTTAAAGCTTTGGGGGGACTCCAACCGTAGCGTACGTTTTAGTCCGTGTTGTCCTTCTCGGTTCTTTTCCTTACATTTATCATTGGGGGGAGGGAGGAGTGTTTTTTGAAAGAAGTGGCTTTAGACAAAGCAAGAAAACAAAGGAAACGAATGGCAAGCTGAAGTTATCAGTTGAGAATGTATTGTTATGTACTTTGAGTACTTGAATTGCGCATTAAGAAGGATTAGTGGCATTTCAGAAATAAAGGCAAGTCTGATCCTTAAGTTGATCCTGCAGTTTTAGGAAATTGTACATTTACCAGACTCCATGCTTATTTGTATGTGCATACTGTCCAGGGAGGGAAACTATTAAGGGTATTCATCTTTCTCTCTCCCTGACTTTAAAATTTAGGAGCAAACTCTACAAGTAGTTATTAGTTGGGCAAGCCATAATCTTAAAACTATGAACAGCCTGTTTACATAGACATTAACACTGGTTTAGTGTAAATTACTATCTTAAAAATTATAATTCTGTCTCTGCAGAATTTCAAAAGGACTATGTAAATTTAGTTATCAATTGGATTTGCTTTTCTTGAAAACAATTGTTTAAAACTGGGCTAATGCTGATTAAGATTGCAAATAGAATGAAACCCATTAAAATAAAAGGAATTTATGAAATGTATATTTAAATAGGCATGTGCATAATTATATTGCAAATGGTGAAAATAAACTGTGTGTGTGTGTGTGTAGTTGAGGTTTCAAGAGCCTTAAGATACCTTCCATCATGGACATTATTTTTACATTCTCCAATATATTACATAATTATGTTTACACCAAAACTACTCCCATTGAAATCAATGAGATACACTCCCTGACAACTGTAACTTGGCTATCTTTCTATTTTTCAGTACTGATGCAAAAGTTAGTATCCATAAAATGACTGTTGCTGCTATGAACAGTACCTATGGGTACTTTCTTAGAGAGAAGGTAACTTTTTCATGGTCATTGCAACATTTGTGGTAATTCTGCAATTACTTATATAGTGAAGTGACTTCCTTTTTCCAGAATCCAGAATCTGTGAAAATTGGAAGGTAAATACTCCACCTATTCATTATCATTTATTATGTTTTTGCTTGATGAATATGGGCACCTCCCCCTTTCCCTTTTTTTGGGAACTACTACTGATTTGGCAAGAACAGCAACTATTTCTGTAGAGCAGTGTTTTTCAACCTTGGCAGCTTGAAGATGTGTGGACTTCAACTCCCAGAATTCCCCAGCCAGCTGGCTGGGCAATTCTGGGAGTTGAAGTCCACACATCTTCAAGCTGCCAAGATTGAAAAACACTGCTGTAGAGTACTATTTGAAAGCATAGTCAATAATATTTAAAACATATTTTTATGCTTGTTCTTAGTAAACAATATGTATTTTCAGGAATGATCTTAATTTTAATTTTACCTCAGAACCATTACTTAGCTTATATTGGATGTGCAGTTGACTAGGAATTTTCAGTATTATTATTTGCAAATTCAACAACAACATCAAAATCCCTCATAATTCTGGAAGTAAACAGTGGCCTTTCTGTATTATTGCTAAAAACAACAATCATTTCTAGATTCTCACCATAAGCCAACTGTGACTTGAAAGAGTCATTATTTTTAAGCTTATAATCCTGATGTTCATATTTCAGTCCACAGCAGATTGCAGAGTCGTATGAAACAAGTGTTCATTAATGTTTGTGTGATTTTAGAGGCAGATCTTGATAGCATAAGTGTCTTCTTAATCCTGTTGGCATTCACCATTTTTGTGAATTATTTGGATGAGCATGAAGGAAGTAATTATTTGCCTAAAACACAAAACAAACAGAAAACAGAATAATTAGCAACAAGGAAGAAAGCAAACTTTAAAACTACTGGAAGAAATTCAACGTAATCTGTGATTCATTTCTCTGTGAAGTTAATAAGCTATTGGTAACTTTTTCAAGAATGGTAATTGACTTTCTTATGAGTGAGTATGAGATATTTGTACTCTATTGATTGGAATTAAATATTAACAATTAACTTCCACTACTTCCCTTGTATGGAAGCTGATAAAAAGCCATCTGATTTCCAAAGTGTTTGCCATTTCATCTTTTTGTTTTCCTAAATCTGTATCTATTCTTCTTTTAAGCCTAGACGGCATCATCCTATTCAATTCCAGTAATTTTGGAGATTGTTCTATTGGGTTGTGAATTATCATTCGTTTTTCAAAAAATAGTTAAATAATAAAATGTTGACCATTTTATATTTTTATTGAGAAAAAAGTTAGAATCATGTTAGCCAAGTTATAAGGGAATCTGTTTGGTATTTCCTTATGATAGAGGTTCTTACTCTGTTGCAGCTGAAATTCCCTGAGGATTCAGTTTTACTGACCTGTCTTGATGATAGACTCCTGAGTAACTATCAAAGGAGGGAGTTACCCTATATTAATGCTGCATATCATACCTGTATCTGAAACAGTTTTTGTGAACATATTATTTATATTATTTATTTTTATAAAATCTTGAAGTAAAAAAAACATTTGATGCATTGACTGCCTCCCTGCTATATTTTCTGAAATTTGAACAAGCTGTAGGAATAAAATAAGGGAAGTGTGCGACCCTCCTGAGCTCCATTTTCACTGGCAGAGGGTTGCAGGAGGCTGTGGGAGCCAAAAACAGAGCTTGGGAGCCCATTTTCGCTGGCAGAAGTACCATGGGCCAGTCCTTCACTGTTTCCAGGGCGGCCCCATGGACCAAATCCGGTCCCGGGGCCTTCAGTTTGATATCCCTGCTCTATATAGAAAGCATTATATAACTAAATTGTATTTAAAATCAGGTCTTTGCACTTTTGACTATAGTCTAAATTTGTTCTATCTCATTGCATATCAATAATGATCACTTTAAGTATGGTTATTATCCCTATAATATTAGCTGTGATATGCATGGAAAATGATCCATAATGGATACAAATACTTTTAAACTGTTACATTTCTCTTTCTAGGACAAATCTTTTTGTTATAGTTTATATTAGACATATGAACATTGAATATTATTTGTAATTTTACAATTTTCTAACTTGTTTCCCAAGGCTTTGTAGCAAATTTATTCATGGTAATATATCTACAAAATACCATGTTTTTATCTTGTTAGTACAAAAAGTAAATTGTTTCATTTGTCTGTATAAAAATATTGCTATCAGGTTGCTGTCCTGTTAATATAAATTCAGACACTTTGGGAAAATAAGATAATATGTTCTACCTATTCTGCAGATCTTTGGATATATTTAGTATATGAACAAAACAAGGAGTTCCTGTAATATGTTTCCTGTTTTGTACTGAGAATTTCAGCATGGAAATGCTCTTGTCACTCGCTAATGCTGTTTTCTTGTTATTGCTTACACAGCTACTTTCATTTCCATGCTAGGATCAGATTTAACTAAACTTGTGAAGCAAATAATTGGGTGATAAAAAATCATTAAGTTTGCATTTGTACCTACTATTCTTAATATAATGGCCACAAAGGATTGGAAATAGATATTTTTATTTTAGTTTGTGTTATATATTTGATTCTCAAAGAGTTCGGTTTCAAAGTGTTTCCATTCAAATAGGTTGCTGAAGAGTCTAGCGGAATACTTTATAATTTAAAAAATGGAGGATGGAACTAGAAGGTCAGATTGAAGTTATTGGGGAGAGAGTGACCATATTACACATAATGTAAGCACAAGTAAGCAAACAAATCTTAAAGTCTTAGACTTTAAAAAATTGACATGGATAGAAATTCTAAAGAGAAAACTACTCAGGATTCTAAAGAATCTCTGAAAATGAGATTGTATGTTGTGCAATCTAACACAATACCACAGAGGAAGAAAAACAAGAGATCCTAGATGAAATCAGCATGGTTGCATAAAGAACTCTCTGATAAACTGAGAGGTAAAAAGAACAAATATAAAAAATGAAAAGAGGGCCACAGGATCAAAATAGAGTACCAGGAAATAATCGAATCTGCAAGGAGAAAGTCAGGAAAGTTAAGCTCAGAATGGGGAAAAAATCAAGGAAATGATCAGTCCACTAATGGGAAGAAGATGGCAAGAAGGTGATGGGCAACAGGGAGAAAGTGGAACTGCTTAATTCATTTTTTGAATCTGTCTTCATGTAAAAGGAAAAAAATAGTCCATACTATCAAAAACAGCACTGTAGGAGACAGAACAGGAATGCAAATGAAAATAGGCAAGAAAATCTTAAGAAAACACCTGGTCACTCTAGACAAGTTCAAATCACCAGGATCAGATGGATTACGTCCCAGGATTCTGAAGAGGCTGGCACAGTGGTGGGTTCCGGATCCCGTTGCAACCGGTACGGTGCAACGGGGCTGGGCATCCACCACATGAATGTGTGCAGCGTGCGTGCATGCGTACTTATCACCAGTGATGCTCCGTGACGCTCCAGCTGCTCATCGGAGCATCATGCAGGTGCTGTACACTTGTGCGTGGAAGCCCCGAAAAACTCAAATATCGGTAAAGAGCGCAAGCAGGCAGGTGGGCCCTCCGGAGCACCGGAACGGAACGGTACCTGGTGCTCTCGGCAGGCACTGGTACACCCATACCGGGGCGTACCAGTTGTTTCCCACCACTGGGCTGGCAGATGTGATTTTGGAACCACTGAACAAAATCCTGAGCTCCTGGAGCATAGAGGAACTACTAGAAGACTGAAAAAGAATATGTGGTTCCAATCTTAAAAAAGGGGGAAATGTGAATCCAGGAAACTACAGTCCATTCAGCCTAATATAAATACCTGTGAGCACCTAGAAACAAGTAAGGCAATTCTGAAACTAACATGGGTTTGTTAAAAACACATCATGTCAGACAAAGCTTCTATATTGCACTGATAAGAGCACACTTGGAATATTGCATCCAGTTCTAGTCATTATGATATAAAAAGGCACTGGGACGCTAGAAAGTATGCAGAGATGAGCAACAAAGATAAGGGGTCTGGAAGCTGAGGGTTGAGAGAACTACTGAAGGTATGTCTAAAGAAGAGAAGGACTAAAAGCGACCAATACTTGAGGACCTATCACAGAGAAGAGGGTTGTCCTATTTTACAAAGAGCCTGAGGGTGGAGGATCATTAGAGAGAGATCCAACCTAGAACACAAGGTCTAATTTCCTGACAGAACAATCAGTGAACAACTACCAAATTCAGCACTACGCTTGTATAAGCACAATAAACTTTCTATATTCCTCTTTTTTCCCTACTGATCTTTGATGAGTTGTAAGCCTTGAATCAAGCACTTCCTGCCCTGTTTCTTCTTAACTTTATAGCCCACCTTTCTCAACCTTTTTATCCTGGATGAATCTTTGAAATAATTTTCTGGTCTTAGTGATCTCCTGCGTAAATATATCTGTAGCAAACATGGCATGACAAGTTTTAAAAAGTTACTTTTATAGTGATTTTTTTTGCTGGAAAGAATGCACTTCAGTAGCTGAGACATAGCAATTGAGGTAGAATAAGCTTAAGTTGGGATGGCCTTGCTCATTTTGGACTCCTGAGGGAAAGGGAAGATCTTAATAAGGGGACACTGGTAGAACAAATAAAAGGCAGGTAAATATCTAGGATTCAGCTCTGGTGAAGCATGTGTAAAAGTACTTATGCCTATAATTTCAGCATTTTCACATTTAGTGGGTCTTCAGTAGACCTAACAGCTTCATTGCTTGTCATTACTTTTTGCATAAGGACCATACATTTAATCTATTGCCATTATCTCAACAGTCATCCTGCACCTATCTCCATAGCCTTAGTAGTCAAAATAAAATAATAAATAATTAACTGTTTCATGGTAAAATAAATTAATACATTTTATCTTTCATGGCATATCACAATTTTAATTTTCTTCAGTTTGATTCACTAGAGCAGTGATGGTGAACCTTTGTTGGCTCGCATGCCAAAAGCAGGGGGAGTGCAGGGGGGTCATGCGCAGGCGTGCCACACCCATAATGCAATGCGTGACCCCAGCGCACATGCGTGCATGAGCAGCGCTCACACACACACCCCATTTTTTGCATAGTTTTTTTGCCCTCCCCAGGCTCCAGAACCTTTATAGGAGCCTGGGGAGGGAGAAAACAGCCTCCCCCCAGGGGGCCCTCCGGAGGTTTCAGGAGCTTCCCTGAAGTCTCCGGAGCGCAAAAAACCTGACCCTATGGGCAAACCGGAAGTTCAGGAACGGTCTTCTGGTTTGCTCGTATGGTTGTTTTTTGCCCTCCAGAGGCTAAGGGGGCTAAAACCGGCCCTACGAGCAAACTGGAAGTCTGTTCCCGAACTTCTAGTTTGCCTGTAGGGTGGGTTTTTTGCACTCCAGAGGCTTCAGGGAAGGGAAGAAGCCTGGGGAGGATGAAAAATGGCCTCAAAAAAAGGCTGAAGTCAGCTGATAGGGCAAAGCATCGCGTGCCCTGACAAATGGCTCCGTGTGCCACCTGTGGCACGCATGCCACAGGCTCGCCATCCCAGCACTAGAGACTTCTCTATCTATGAAAAGACTTCAGTGTTCTGAACATTGAGCAAACCAAACAGTCTTCATATAGCATTCGTTATCTTTTAAGTTTGACTATATATTGTGTGAATAAGTAATCAGTTAAATAATTTGATGGGTGTATATATGAAGTGGGAAAATAACTAGGTGCTGGTTGTATCTTTATTAAAAAGTGGAGCCTGTAAATTTAATCTTATTTAATGCATATTAATAAAGCTTTGTTTATTTTTATTTTTTTAAATGCATATTTAAAATATAAGTTTCCTAAATTATTATTCTCTCACTATATCTGTATAAAGAATCATGTATGGGTAGTCCTTGTATAGCAACCACAATTGGGACTGGCAACTCACTCATTAGGTAAAGCAGTTGCTAAGTGAATCTACACCTAATGATCCTATTTCAGTTGTCCTTCGGCTTACAGATCTTACACAAGAAAAGTGACTTCAAATCCAAACATATTCTTTTTAAAGAATGCACAAGATTGCATATAATTTGCCTTAAGTTTGCATCTGTTTGGTTATAACTTGAAATACTGTATTCTCCTATAACAGTGTTTTTTCCAGGCTGTAGAACTGTAGGGTTTGACGAGAACCTGATGGGGTTCCGTGAGATCAAGGGCAATCGCACCCAAATCACTTATGTACAGACAATTTTCTGCCATTGGAACTTTGCCTTTTTTATATTGAATGAATACAATTACCTAGAAACAATAATCAAGTCTCAGGGCACCACTTCATTCTGGTTTTACAGCCAGTTTTGTTTTTATTTCATGATTTTAATTATTTGTTTTGTGCCTTATCTGAACTGTGATGTTTTTATTTTAATCTAGGGTGAAAGGAATAATGGCTTTGATGTCCTTTATCATAATATGAAACATGGCCATACATCTACAAAGGAATTAGCAGATTTTATAAGAGAAAGGTAAGTGAACTTTTTAGCTCATTTTTCTGATTTAGAATAATCTTGATTTATGCAAAAATTGAAAGAGTGCATTCCTTAAAGCAGCTATGCTTAATTTGGATGCTTTCCAGACCAGCTTCTAAATATTCTCTAACAACAATGCTGGCAGAAAATCTGGTTGTTGAAATATACACATCAGGTTCCAGGAATAGTTTTGTGTTTCTTTCTTTAAATACTTCTCATTGTGTTACATATTGTGTTAACACAATTATATAATGCACTATTATTTAATTAATAACTGTATTGTTTAATGTTGTATTATTTTAAACCTTTCTAGAAATTAATTTATGGTCCTGTTTCCGTGACATAGTTCACCTTTCATTTACTAATCTAGTAAATTGTGAGTCACTTTGCAATCATATTGAGGTGAAATTTTCAGTCATTTTTATTACAAATATATTTCTTTATATATACATAGATAGATATTTTTAGGTGGGTTCACTTTTTACTCTCACTGAGGTTTGCATATTTTAATTTTTATGGTGATTTTTATTTTTAGAAATTATTTTAAATTATTTATGATTATTTGTATACATTTGTTGATTATTTGATGTACACCATCAGAGTAGTTTTTTATGAGATGGGTAGCATATAAATGTGACTTGTAAAAAAAATAAATAAATATTACTCTATGAATCACATGAGGTCCACAGCAAGCAGGAAGAACCTCATGAGTCTCTGCATAGGAAGTATTGGCGAGACTTCATAATATCACACCAATGGCTAGACAAGCAGGAATGGGTGGGAAATGAGATATAGAATCCCTATAGATAGCCACCCTTCTGCAGAATTACACTATTTTCCCAATATTTCACCTATTAGGGCCAGCATCCAGAAATAGAGTATGGGATAATATGCTTACCTGCTGTGTGCCTTACAAGAAAAATAAAGCATTTAATATAAGCATAAAATTGCACCAAATGGCCACCCCAAAACGTAAGAGTTCCAACAATAAACATAAGAAAGTCTGGAGGTGTTGGAAGAAAATGTAAAAAAGGAATACATGCTCAGTAAATAGGATATCAGACACAAGACTACTGCGTAATCTATGCCTGTCAGGCATGCATCTTTTCAAATGCTTCTTCTCAGCTGGGAGTAGAAGTATTTGAGCTGTTTGAGCTATGCAATGATTTAAGATACCACTGTAATACATGATGACATCTCTGACCTGCATCATGGTTTTCATCTTGCTTGCATCTGTTCAATTTTGACATGAGAGGCGGTCTTAACTGTTTCCAAGGCTTTCCTCCATTTCTCTCTCTGCTGTGAATAGGAGGGAATCCTTCCTGTTCTTGACCTGAGTGGGTACCCCAATCTGATGTGGTCTGCATAGATTAAAACAAGATGTGGTTCCTTTTTCACATATGATTGGTTATTATGAGGGAGTTATTACACGTTTCTGTTGTGTTCTGGAATAAAAATGCTAATGCTGGCAAGAGGATTGTTCCTTGGAGTCAGGCTATGTGTAACTAACTTTCTTCTGGTTGGCTAGGTAAAGTATTTGCCTTGTGGAGAGTGGGTTTTTTTTCTGGCGTGTCGTAGAACTAGGGTGAAGAACCCCTTTTACCATTTGATGAATGGGGTTTTTTGGGCTGATGATCTCAGATGAGATTGGTAGCTATTGGCATAGTTTTCTTTTTTTAATGTTTTTTATTTTTTAATTCACATTAATATTATTAATGCAAGAGTTGCTCCCACCCCAATCTTCACGGAATCTATTAACACATGGGATCTGTTGGCGGTGGCAGCGGTGGCAATCCGCGTTGCCTGGAACAGGCCAAAAAAAGGACGCACGGAGGTTAAAAATATGACACGCGGAGGCAGCGATAGGCGGCGGCAATGATCCCCACAGCCTGGAACAGCTGATTGGTGGTATTCCAAGAGGCCAGTCCAACCGCCAATCAGCTGCTCGCACTAAATCAGGCTTTGCTGAAGCTGACCAGGTTGTTTGCTGTTTGCTGCAAGGAGGCAAATTGCTGGAAGCAGAGGTCGAAGGGTGGAAGCTGGTGGTTGGGCGGGGCTTCGGCAACATTTACTCTATAAGACACACAGACATTTCTACCCACTTTTGGGGGGAGGAAAGTGTGTCTTATAGACCGAAAAAATACAGTAGTTCTTGACTTACATAATGGAGTCCAGAATTTGCATTTTATGTCATGGTGGTTGTAAGTTGAGGCACCCAGATGACCAACGTGATTTTATTAATTTTTTTGTATCAGTTGTTAAGCAAACCCATTGTCTCAAATGGGCTTTTTTTGCTAGAAGCCAGAATAAAATGTTGGTTTCCAGAAAAAGAATGTAATTAGCAATTATGTGAATTGCCGGATGCTCCAAATGGCCACAAATGTGAACTGGTTGCCAAGTGCCCGAAATGTGATTGTGTGACCATACATTAGAATTTAGAATCTGGGTCATAAGTGCCTTTTGAAGAATCTGTTGTAACTTTCAACAGTCATTAAGCAACCAGTTGTAAATCAAGGACTACTTGTATAATTTAGTTCACAGTTATTGTTTGCTAAATGTTGAAATACTAATGCCAAATAAGAAATTTGAGGTTATACAAGAGAATAGTTCTCAACAGAAACTGATTTCCATCTCTTCAAAACAAGCAGAGCCACTTGACTGTCCACTGATTGCTACTTTTTGTAATCTCTGTGCTCTTTTCTGCTAAATTATAAACACTGAACAGGTTTTGTCAACAGGTTTTGTAAAAATATAATTTAGGTCTCTGCCATGAGATATTTCATAATTACTATTGTAAGACTCACTGAATGCCTGATTACGCTTAATGAGACATTCAGTCTTCTACCATAGACTTTCTGATATAAAAACAGTGGACATATCACAGTAGAGTATGTTGGCAGTCTCCAAACTATTGCAGTTAGTAAGACAGGAGCTAACAAATAGGGTAGAGAGCAGTGATGGCTAACCTTTTTTGGATTGCGTGCCAAAAGCAGGGGGAGGGCAGGGAGGGTCGTGCACGGGCGTACCCACATCCATAATGCTATGTGTGCAACCCCCCTCCTTTTGGCATGCTTCCTTTTTCGCCCTCCAAAGGCTCCAGAGGCTTTCTAGGAGCCTGGGGAGGGCGAAAACAGCCTCACCCGCCCCCTGGAGGCTTCAGGAGCAAAAAATGGCCCTATGGGTAAACCGGAGGTTCAGGAACAGTGACTTTCGGTTTGCTCATCATTGATGTTTTTCGCTCTCCGGAGCCTTCAGGGAAGCCTCCTGAACGTCTGGAGGACAAAAAATGACCCTACAAGCAAACTGGAAGTGACTTCTCGTAGGGTCATTTTTCGCCCTCTGCAGCCTTCAGGGAAGCCGCCTGAAGGCTCCGGAAGGTGAAAAAAGGCCTAGGAGCAAACTGGAAGTGACTTCCGGTTTGGCCATAGGGCTGTTTTTCACCCTCCAGAGCCTTCAGGGAAACATCCTGAAGGCAAAAAACGGCCCTATGAGCAAACTGGAAGTCCGTTCCTGAACTTCCGGTTTGCCCATAGGGCTGATTTTTCGTGTGAAAAACGGCCTTAAAAGAAGGCCAAAGTCAGGTGGTGCGTGCTGGAGCTGACAGGGCAACGCCTCGCATGCCCTGTTTAACAAATGGCTGCGCATGCCACCTGTGGCACGTGGGCCATAGGTTCGCCATTAAGGGGGTAGAGGGAAGATATTTTCCCTGTAAAATATCTTTCTGAAACAATGCTGTCTGTCTTCAGTTGTGATATTGTCAGCACCTTTATTTCTTTTATTACATGAATGGATTTTCATATAATACTGTATCTTTAAATATTTGAGTGAACTAGTTTGGTATAATTGTTAAGGCATCAGGCTAGAAACTGGGAGAACGTGAATTTTAGTCGGCTTTAGGTACAAAGCTAGCTGGGTGGTCTTGGTTTAGTCACCTTCTCTCAGTGACAAACCTCTTCTGAAATCTTGCTAGGAAAACTAGTAGGGACAACCCAATAGTCTCCAGGAGTCAAAACTGATTTGAAAGCAATTGATGAGAACTGAAATGAGTTAATTAAAATATACCTGTATAATAAATATACTGATGTGGCCAACATATCTGCTTCCATAGTTGCAAAGAATTTTGAAAGTCCAAACAAAAGGCAAGTATAGACTAGTAATCCTTAATTAAATTCCAGTGTACAAGAAATTAGTATAAGTACTAAGAACTATTTCCATCACACTATGTCCTCAATAATGTTTCATAAATGGATTTTTTCAATATTTGCAAAAGTGGAGTGATAGACTTTTATATTAATTATTGTAGATAGTACTGAAGAACTCCTCTCCCTCAAATAACATTGTGTAAGTAAAATTAGAAGTTTCTAATGCAGAAATCTGCACAACTGGATAGTACACAAATAACTTTATCAGCTCCAACTGTTTTCCTTTTAGAGTTGTATTTGGAATAGCACCTGTAACTTGAGCAAGCCATATTTAATGGAGATTTTACTTTTGAAACCCTTCCACTTGAATAGACCATTGCAGAGCTTCTATAGACTTTCTCTGTTTTGTATATGTTATCGACAATGTATGAAAAGTTGGCATTGTATAGATCCATGATGGCGAACCTAGGGCACATGTGCCGGAGGTGGCACACAGAGCCATCTCTATGGGCACGTGTGCCATTGCTAGCTACTCTTCTGGTTTCGGGCACATGCAAGAGTCCCGGAAACCCGAAGATCAGCTGGCCCTTGTGCATGTGCATGGCATTCTGGTTTCCAGTGCTCCGGCACACGCGAAGACCAGCTGGCCCGCACGCACATGTGCACCGCCCAGCTGGTCTTTGGGTTTTTGGGGCACATGCGTGCACACACATGCATTCCAGTTTGGGCACTCAGTGCCATAAAGGTTCACCATCACTGGTATAGATACATGGTGTTTTAGGCAAAGTATGAAATTGTTTTAATGTGCTACATATTTTCCCTAGGTATTGTGTGCAATACCTAGGCATTATGCAG